CCCCTTCTTCGAGCAATGCCCAAACTGAAATGACAAAAGAGCACAAAATCCGGAAGGGCCCAGCCACTAAGGTCAGTATCAAATTGGGGGGAACCCAACAAACATTATAACTATTTAAATAAGATTAAGCACTAATTATGAATTTACTACTGTTATAAAGAATTAAACTACTTATAACATGATTACCACCAATGTTTTGCTGTGTAAAAGCTAAAAGTTAAATAATATAAAAAAGGGGGCGTTAATCAGTAAAATGATATCTTGTAATATTCGATTTGAGTATTAATTCTACAACTATATATATTCCCCCATTTTGAAGCAAATTCAAACAAGAACAAATTCCTCCATTTCTTTTTAAGCGAAGGGGCTGCTGAAAATCGATAATGGCGGCCAAATTGCTGTCATGGGCATGCATAAGGAACGAGAACGGAGGTTTATCTCCAAGGCCACACTACCCATCAATGCCAAAATATCCAAAGGGCGTAAATGTTTCATTTGATGAAGAATCCAAGGCCTTGTTCTCAGTAATTGGAATGACTTGCACTGCATGTGCTGGCTCCGTCGAAAAGGCGGTGAAGAGGCTTCCTGGAATCAAAGAGGCTGTTGTTGATGTGTTGAATAACAGAGCCCAAGTCATCTTTTACCCTGCTTTTGTCAATGTAAGTTGAATTACATATACATACTCAATATCAGCTTGGGGGTGGAGGTGTTAATTTTTGAGGGTTTGTTGTTATATCTTGAAATTGAATTACGTTCACTATTGCATGAAGCATATTTTTGAATTTGAATTATTTATTTATTATTTATTTATTATTTTTTTTCGTATATGATCGATTGATTTGTGAAGAATTAGATAAATTTGACGGGGTGTTATCATGATTGATTTATTGTATATTTTGTTATGGTTGGCTGCCCCTAGATTCATGCATTCTTAAATTGCAATTTAGGCATAGTTTAGAGGTAATCGCTTGTGTCATAGTTTATACCTGAATTGAATGTCTTTTATAAACTTGAAGCTGCATCCATGGACCCCAGAATTTTAAATCTTTGAATTTTGATTTTTACTCCACCTTTTGAATTACCTTTAAATAAAAGTAATCTCTGTTCCAAGATGATAGCAAAGTATGTTATCATGATTGATTTATTGTATATTTTGTTATGGTTGGCTGCCCCTAGATTCATGCATTCTTAAATTGCAATTTAGGCATAGGTTAGAGGTAATCGCTTGTGTCATAGTTTATACCTGAATTGAATGTCTTTTATAAACTTGAAGCTACATCCATGGACCCCAGAATTTTAAATCTTTGAATTTTGATTTTTATTCCACCTTTTGAATTACCTTTAAATAAAAGTAATCTCTGTTCCAAGATGATAGCAAAGTATAATATCCTTTTTCTTTTTAGTTCATGTTTGGAATTTGTCCAATTGCCATTGAAATTACCAGTTGCAACAGATGCCAAATAAAGCCATAATCTAAGGTCCATATTTGCCAAAAATTTTAACGAAGCCTCCGTGAAAACATTTGTTTTTCATTTTCTTCACTTGCATGAAACATTCATGCCATGTTTAAGACCATATCAGTATTTTCGCTCGAAAACTAGCATTTCTGATATTTGAGATGATGGAGACCAACTGATTAATTAGCCTAAAATAAAACATAAAATTCGGTAGCCATTATGTAGCATAAACATACTAGGGACCAAATTGAAACCCGATGCTCAGCTCTGCGACAAACAGGTGTTTTAACCTCTCTATGTAGACATGTTTAGAATGAAATGGTCGTTATACACCATAAAAGAGAGACCTGAAATCTGTATTTTGCTTATCTTGGGGTAAGTTACTCTTTCAATTTTACGGTTTATTTAATCTTCAATGTTAAGGATATTGGTCGTCAGTAAAGTTTGCCCAACTTCCATGTTGTAATACACAGGAGGAAACAATCCGTGAGACAATTGAGGATGTAGGATTTCGAGTCACGATGATCAAAGAAGACACCAATGACAAATCTACTCAAGTATGCCGGATTCACATAAAGGAAATGAGTTGCACTTCTTGTTCCACAACTTTGGAATCTGCTTTACAAGCAATGCATGGTGTATTAAAAGCACAAGTTGTATTAGCAACTGAAGAGGCTGAAGTTCAGTACGATCCAAAGATCTTGAGCTACTATCAGATCTTGGAAGCCATAGAAGATGCTGGGTTTGAAGCTATACTTATCAGTGCTGGAGAAGACAGATTGCAAATACAACTGCAAGTTCTTGGAATAAGAACTGAAAATTCCGTGAGAATAATAGGAAATTCTCTTCAAGCACTGCCAGGAGTTCAAGATATAGACTTTGATTTAGATCTCCAAAAGTTCACAATTTCGTACGAACCAGATTTAACAGGACCTAGAACTCTTATAAAAATAATTGAGTCGACCGGATCAGGACAGGTCAAGGCAATTATATTTCCTGAAGGAGGGGGAAGAGAAGCTCATAAGCAAGAGGAGATCAAACGTTATTACAGATCATTTCTTTGGAGTTTGGTTTTTTCAATTCCTGTATTCTTAATGTCGATGGTCTTTATGTATCTTCCTGGTATAAATCACGGTTTGGATACCAAAATAGTGAACATGCTTAGCACTGGGGAGATGTTAAGGTGGATATTGTCTACTCCAGTGCAGTTCATCATTGGTCGACGATTCTACACTGGTTCTTACAAAGCTTTACGCCTCGGTTCCGCAAATATGGATGTTTTAATTGCCCTGGGAACAAATGCCGCCTACTTTTATTCATTTTTCTCAATATTGAGAGCTGCCACTTCTAAAAGTTTTAAGTCGACTGATTTTTTCGAGACCAGCTCAATGCTCATTTCGTTCATTCTACTTGGTAAGTATCTCGAGGTTTTGGCTAAGGGGAAGACATCTGAAGCCATTGAGAAGCTCATGGACTTGGCTCCTGCGACAGCGACCCTTTTAACCCTGGACAATGAAGGAAATTTGATGAACGAGGAAGAACTAGACAGTCGATTAATACAAAAGAATGACATCATTAAGATTACTCCTGGTGAAAAAATAGCTTGTGATGGCTTCGTTGTCTGGGGACAAAGTCATGTAAATGAGAGTATGATAACTGGAGAATCTAGGCCAGTGGCCAAACAAAAGGGTGACATGGTTATCGGAGGAACAGTGAATGAGAATGGGGTGCTACGCATTAAGGCTACAAGGGTTGGATCAGAAAGTGCCCTATCACAAATTGTTCGACTTGTTGAATCAGCACAAATGGCCAAAGCTCCAGTCCAAAAATTTGCTGATCGCATTTCCAAATTCTTTGTACCTCTTGTAAATACACCACAGCTTTTTCCATTCTGAGTTGCAGGATATTTTAGCTATACTGCTAACTGATAATCTCTTAGCCTAAGATAATTAGTTGAATGCTAGTTTACAATTTGCAGATAATAATCCTTTCATTTGGCACTTGGCTTGCCTGGTTCTTAGCTGGAGAATTAAACAGCTATCCAAAATCTTGGATTCCTACTTCAATGAATAGCTTTCAGCTTGCACTTCAGTTCGGCATCTCTGTCATGGTCATAGCCTGCCCGTGTGCACTTGGCCTGGCTACTCCGACTGCTGTTATGGTTGGTACTGGAGTTGGTGCTTCTCAAGGTGTCCTGATTAAAGGTGGTCGGGCGTTAGAAAGCACTCATAAGGTTAGATTCTGATATATTGTTTTGCTGATGTCATGTTTGTCTAAGCTTGAAAAAAACAATCATGCTATGTTGACCAAATTTTTTTAATATAATGGCTGACCGACACTCATAATGGGAGGGGATCCACTTCTTTTTTGGACTTTTTTATTCACGTGGAACCCACGCACATGTGAAAGGATGTTAACTATTATGTCAAAAAAAATTCGGGCAAAGTAGTTTAATACTGAAAAAAGGTAACATGTTTCAAAATGTTTATTTTCTAGCTTTAAAAAGTACTATTTTGAAAATAACCCACGTATTACAGCAAAATAAGTATATTATTTTGAGCTGTGACCACTACAAAAAAATTTATTTCAAGCCACAGTTTTATCCTATTATTTTCAAAATACATTTTCTCTCTTCTTTTCAATTACATATTCTTCAATGATCTTAGAGTGTCAGAGTTAGGCCAGGAGGGTCTCTTAACGCCTTTTTTTCTTCTCATCGGAACAAAGACTCGCAGGAAAAGGAAGAAGGGGGAATAAGCACACTTGGAGAGCGCAGTACAACGGAGAGTTGTATGCTGCGTTCAGGAAGGATGAATCACGCCCGAAAAGGAATCTATGGATTCTCATCCAAAATTTTTCCTTATTTTTAATCATACATTCTTTATCAATCTACTATTCCAAAATGCATTATTAGCAAAAATATGGGGCTCAAACATGCTCTAAAACTTATTTGCCTATGCGTACACTTTTTTAAGCTTAGGCCATTAGCAAAAATATGGGGCTCAAACATGCTCTAAAACTTATTTGCCTATGCGTACACTTTTTTAAGCTTAGGCTATCATGCTTAGTTAATATATAAATCATACTAATGAACATTCATTATATTGTTGCCAAAAATGTGTCAACGTTGAACTACTGAAAATTGAGACTTCATTGTTATTATTAGTTGCTACTTGCTATATTGTGACAGGTAAACTGCATAGTCTTTGACAAGACGGGAACTCTCACCATTGGCAAGCCAGTGGTAGTCAACACAAGACTGTTGAAAAATATGGTTCTTCGAGAATTCTATGAGCTCGTTGCTGCTGCTGAGGTATTCTTCTTTTTAAATCTTCATAACATTCTTAAGGGAAGCTTGTATACTCTAGGTCTCCAGTTACAACACAATGTTGAACCTAATGTTGTTGGAATTTTAGTTAAGGTAAAAATGGAGCTCTATATGTCTTAGAATTTGTAGAAAACCCGATCTTTTTGTTTGTATATTTATAGTTCAGTGAATTTTTATTGAACCATGGCTCCAAACAACATCAGTTTAAGAAGTAAAATACCATTACCATCTGTGAAATCAATGAACTAATGCAGTACAACTTTATTCCGCTTATAGTAATAACTTAGACAGTGGTGTGTTTTCTTTATCAGGTAAACAGCGAGCACCCGTTAGCCAAGGCGGTCATTGAGTATGCCAAAAAATTAAGGCTAGATGAAGAGAACCCTGTCTGGCCTGAAGCCCTCAATTTTGAATCCATAACAGGCCATGGTGTGAAGGCCATTGTTCGAAACAAGGAAGTTCTTGTGGGAAACAAGAGCTTAATGTTGGCGCAAAACATCAATATTCCACTTGATGCTGAGGAAATCCTATCAGAAACTGAAGGCTTGGCCCAAACTGGGATTCTTGTGTCCATCGACAGGGAATTGGTTGGAATTCTTGCCATATCTGATCCATTGAAGCCCGGGGCTCGTGAAGTTGTTTCCATTCTCAAGGCGATGGAAGTTAAGAGTATAGTAGTCACAGGCGACAATTGGGGAACCGCGAATTCCATTGCCAAGGAAGCTGGGATAGATACTGTCTTTGCAGAAGCTAAACCTGAGAATAAAGCAGAGAAAGTGAAGGAACTACAGGTGAGCTTAATATCTCGACCATTCTCTATGAACTCGGGAAAATTGGTGGATTAATCCAAGTTCCGATTGACCAACAGATCAAGACACCGTTCATTTGGAAGTGTTTCTTTATAAATCAAACTACCATAGAGGTGGACTAGTAATTAATGCTGAAAATAAAATAAAAAACAAACTTAGGAGAGGAGATCCTACTTGACCTCCAACCAACGAAAGTACGTATGAAACTAGTACTATAATTCACGTGCCTTTTTCATGCTTTGCATCGCCAGCTTCTAATCATATATTTTGTAGCCTTCACATAGCTATCCTCTTTGCCCTCAGAGAAATCCAAGTATAATTTGCACAGTTTTTCTTTTACATGAAATTAGCATATCTTGAAGTTCTTATTAACATTTTTCGTCTACAGGATGAAGGATATGTTGTGGCAATGGTGGGGGACGGAATTAACGACTCACCAGCACTCGTAGCTGCCGACATTGGAATGGCAATTGGTGCCGGCACTGACATTGCCATTGAGGCAGCCGACATTGTTCTAATGAAGAGCAATTTGGAGGACGTCATAACTGCCATAGACCTTTCCCGGAAAACTTTTTTCCGAATTCGACTTAACTACCTCTGGGCATTAGGTTACAATATCATCAGCGTACCAGTTGCTGCTGGGGCCCTTTTCCCATCCACCGGGTTCCGATTACCTCCATGGATTGCTGGCGCAGCAATGGCAGCCTCTTCAGTCAGTGTTGTTTGTAGCTCTCTTTTGTTGAAAAATTACAAGAGACCTAAAGAGTTGGATACTCTTGATGTAAGAGGGATAACTATTGAGTAATTACTACTTGTCCAGCTTTGATGGTACTAAATGTAGATATCTATTTCGCTATTGTGTTTGGAATTAGTTGTTAATCTATTCAGTAAAATTCAAGCATGGTTTTTCTTCTATTAAAAGCATCTATTACCACCCGCACCTATACATATGACCTGTTCCTAGACTATTCACAACCGCAAGCTGATTTACCAAATAAAAATTGACTCAAACAATAAGAAATCTGTTCGCTTCAAGTTTCTCAAAACGGTTGTCTACATATACATAATTGGTTTTCATAATGATTTACATATAATGATTTACATATTCATAATGTGGTGAGATATAATTGAATTAAAATTTCTTAAAAAAAATAAATAAAAATCTTTCCCCACTCTCTTTTTTAAACTTCGTCCGTGTGTAAATCATTATGTAATTCCTTATGTACAAATAGCATTACTCTCCTCAAAATGGTCACAATAAAAATAAAAATAAAAATAAAAATAAAATCCTCACAATGGTCGTGAGATAAACTATTCACTTAGAGGATAGACATTACGAAAATTATTTGGAAAAAAAAAATTCATTTTCAACTATATATTTTCAGGACTCATTATTAACTATGCATTCTTCAAAAAATTATTTTTCGTTATAAAAAAATCTTTGACAAACCAATTCTAAGTTCTATTGAATGATCATTGCGAAACTGCAAGCTTATGAGATCTTTAACAAGTAATAGAATTGATGAATTGAGAGTATCGTCCCACAAAGAATAAATTTAAATTTAAATTTATTAGTTATGTAAGAAATTCGAATTATGTAAAACAAAAGAAAATTTGATTTTGTGATTATTCTAAATTAATATAAGAAATCAATAAAAGTTTTGTTTTTGTCAAATTAAGGATGATTGTATTGGATTTCAAATTCGTCTATTACTATATAATTCAATTCTTGATTCGTAATCTAGTTCCGTTCATTCGTTATTGACAATCGATAAAGTTATGATATATAACTTTTTTCCAAGACAAATTAAATCTATCCTAACTGCGACTCAAGTCTATTCCTAACCCGAATTCGAATTATTAAAATTCATTAAAGTTTAGATTATCTAAACGGCTGTATACATGATAATTGTTATTCTACATATATTACACATATATTAAATTTGTCGCGTTCTAAACTTACTGTGAGTCTTCCAGCACTACAATGGGTAATTAATTATCTAATTGGTGGCCAATCAATTGAATAATGCAATGAGTATGCAAAATTAATCAAGAAACACAAGAATTAATCTAAACTACTAGTCTTTAATTAGAAATAAATAACAAATAGGGTTCATCTTCATCTAATACAGAAGCGAATCTAGTCTAGCATATTAATAGATAAATTACAAGAAGAATGAAAAAATATCACCCGAATCATGAAGGAATACAAAAAATGTTAATCTTATAGTCCAAAGATGAATTCTTCAATTCTTGAAGTAATTGGCCTTAAATTCTTGCTAGGGCTTGATCTCGTCTATCAAAATATAGTAATTGACACCCTTGTTCTTGATGAATTTGATGATGCAAAAGAGTTTTTTTTTTTTTTCCTTTTTTTTTTTTTTTTTTTTGTATAACCCATGTTCCCTATTTATAAGAGTCGAAAATAGGTCAAAATCACGTTCAATTTGGATTTCAAAAGAGTTTGAATCGTAAAAGGAAATTGCTGATTCGTCTGCGAAGAAAACCCATGCGTACACAAGCATAACCACCCTACACGTGCCATTAAAGTATGTGGCTTTCAGGTCATGAGATTTATGTCTCGTGTGCATGCCATGAATGGCCCATGTGCGCACCATTTTGCGCGCTTTTGTCCTTGAGCAATTTTTGATATTTTGGTTATAACTTTCTCTTCTGATATTTGATTGAGATAGTTTGAAGTGCATTGAAAAGCTAACCAATTCTTTTGTTTGCTATTCGAAAAATGGGTCTCAATTTGAAGCTATAAATCCATAACATAACTTATTCGATTGGAATATAATTTGTGAAAATACTTTAACTCTATTTTGTTTCTTTGACCTCTAAATTGCATCCAATTGATCATATGTGATCTTCAATCATCATTTAATGGTCCGAACCAACTACTGAATATTTGCACTTTGGTCCCCAAACTTTGAATTTATTTCCTTTTTGTCCTTTTTCGTTCTTTTCTTTCAATTCCACCAATTTGCATTGAGTTCAACCTAAAAAAACGTATTTAATATATAATTAAGTTATAATTCATTTAAATCACTAACAAATACTCTAATTTACAGAGAAAGATAAGTGTACAAAATACATTTATCAAACCCCCCAACTTAAACATTTGTTTATCCTTAAACAAAACTATATCCTAACTTAACAAAAAAAATAAATTAAAAACACATGGTTACATAATTTGTTTTTGGTCTCGGGATTGGAATTCTTGTATTAAAACTATGAACTGCTTCAAAATCACATCGTTGAGATTAATTTCTACTCGTTCAATGCAAAATCGACGTGTGTGCATTTGAAAATTCATGTCAAGTATCATAAACTGATAAAGTTATTCAAGTCTCGATCCTCAATGGTCAAATATATCATTTCTTCTCTCGTAAGATTCACATCCCAAACCTTTTTTTTAAAACTCTTTTTACAAGGTATGATCTAAAATTGAATTTATATACTAATCCTCACTCTCTAGTTTGGTTCAATTTTATTAACTGCAGCTCAACACATCAATAAATGAAAATTCTCCTTATTTTTTATTGCTTCAATCCTAAAAAATCAATTAAGCTAATAACTCCTTGTCCAATGTCTAATTCTCTAAAATAAGTGTTTTAGATTTAATCAAGTTTATTTTTTCTTTTCTAACATCTATATGCTGATTTCTCTTCATTAAGCGTTTTAAATAACTTTGTAGTGAGTTTTTGGCCGATGACTCTCAAGTCAGATGACTTTAGGGCACCAATTTTTAAATTTCCTGCAGGCTTAATCACTTGAGCCTAATGGCTATGAAGTGATATTTCACAATGAGACACATTTTTTTTTCTTTTCTTTCTCCCTTTTTATGCAATGATTAGTTCAATACCCCTTATTAAACATATATTCTAAAAAATCGTCCCATAACATAAAATTTTCACCTAATTTTCATTTTATTGGCTTTAGACAATCCACACAAAACTGATCACATATGGAATCCACATTTATTTCAATGTTTTCCTACAAAAGTTCAATCACTCCCAAACCATTCTAAATTTGGATTTAGGATGTATAATTTAGTGGTTGTTTGGATTTAGCATCTAAGGTCCACTATATATTTTTTTTCAACTTATTCAAATTTTGAATCAAATTATTCTTTCATGATGCAAAACATAAATTTTGCGCTAAAAAATATCAAGTTTTACATGAATAAGTATAAATCAACCCTAAATGCTTTTTTTTTCCAGAATTTATAACATAACACATGATTTCAAATATATTCATCATAGTGGGCAAATTTATCTAACCCACACAAAAACAAAAAATAAGCTAAAAATAAATTATTCTTTTTTTCAAATTTTAATAATTTTTGGGCACTCGAACAAGCACAAAAACCAACAAAAATTCAATGTCCACCTCAAACAACAGACCTTGTCCTCAATGTCTAAAAATATAACAAGCAATGCATAAATATTAAGGACAAAAAAGGGAACTAAGGACTCTCCTTGTATAAATCCGTAGGTGGTGGATGGACTGGTATGAAAGTGTTGGATGATTTGCTATGTATCTTCCCTTGTCCAATGTGTTCAGGTGTTACGTTCCTTCAAAATGATTAGAAAACCAATGATAACATGGAACATTTTATAGTAATCTTAGACACGTCGTAAAGTGAAATATGAGGATGAAGATATTCTGTACTACTAAATTAATAAAAATTACTAATCCTATATCTAAAAAGTAATATAAATGAAAGAGAAGAAAATTGGGTTGTTTCTCAATAAATGCTTATTTATATCATTAGCTTAACTTCGATGTTCTGGATCATGGAATTCTAAAGAAAGATTTTGATGACTTGCTTAGTTTACTTCTTTTGAGTTTGATCCACTTTTTGTTGATTCTTCAAAACTTGACATTGCCTCCTTAAATGCGGTATGACTTGCTTATTCCATCCAATTCGAAAACAACTATGTAGACTTCTTCTTCCTTGAACCTAATCACAAATTCAATTGTTGGACAATCGTTGACGTCGAAAGAATGTGTGTTCATTTCATCATCATTAATTGCCACTTCTTCACTTGGTTCCTTTGTAATTAGTTTGTCATCTTCTTTATGCTCTTCTTCAATAATTGACATCTCGTCGAGTTGAATGGTTAATTTACAGTCTCTATTCTATGACAATGGTATATTTTCTTTCAACATTTTCAAGTTATATTCCCACCTTTAAATTCGTCCCAAAATATGAAATTTCTTGTATTTATTTTGCTTTCATCCAACATAGTAAGTTCATTATAATATTTTGCAAGTGTCTCCTCGTTCAATAGAGGAGGATCAATTTCCTTAAGAATGATGTCATCGTCCGCCACATATGAAATTGAGCACAATTTGGCAAAGAAATTGCCCACTAGTTTCTCGAGAAGTGATGGGAAGTGTATAATTTTCGAAATATGATGGGATAAGGAGTCTTTGCTACCTTTCACCCAGGGGACATCATTGGAGAACAATGTGAGGGACAGGGTGAGAACCTTCCGTTGGTTACGCCCTTTAAGTGTTGGATTTTCCATATTTAGATATGGAAAAATGATCTCATAAATACCGATGCTTAACTTATGTTAAGCATCGGTGATATGGAACACCATTTAATTGGTGAATAAGTTAATGATAGGTTCCTTTTATTTAATGATTCACCAATTAAATGGTGTGCCATGTCACCAGTGCTTAACATAAGTTAAGCACCGATGTTTAAAAGATCATTCCTGTATATATATATATTCACCATCATTCATATAGCATTCATCAGATTTGTCAATTGCTTATTTTCGTCATCTTAAATATTGTTTAAACCGCAGATGTTTGGACATAAAGGGATTAGTGCATGTATACAAATATTGCCCAATATAATGCATTTCATTACAAAGTTTACAA